TGCTGATACAAGAAAAAAAAACATTCTCTTTAAACAACAAAGCAAGAGTTGGCAAAATCAACTGAGATACAGCTTTGATAGGACAGAAAAAGGAGAAGTGGAAGCAAAAACAAGCTCCATATGTTATGGGGCGACGTAGATTGTTTCCTTTTCTCATTTATCTGAATTAAGGGGAAACAGCAATTTTGGCATGCCTATCAATATCATCGCCTCCATCTTGCTGGTGGTGGACATAACCAACTCACCAAGTGTTGTGTTGTTGGTTTAAGGTCAGCAAAAGAATGGAGCAGAAGGTCAAAGTGTGAATTAATTCAACTAAACGTATAAAGGAAAACATGGATCGGTACCCCTGGTTGTTTTGAGGAGTGTTGTTTTTGCCTCTTCTGCCATTTATTCACAGCACAAGAATACACTCACCAGTCCCCAGGAGGGGCATGCTGAATGAGAGCAGAGATTCAGTGCACACATTATGCTGTAAAAAAGCATTGTTTCTCCCCACCGTTTTCAGTGAGTTGCCTTTGTGTTGTTTAAATGTTTACATAGAACAGCTTTGGGGCTTGAAGACGGATGTATGGTCCAAGAATACAGCTTCAGTACAATCCCTCTTTTCCCTGGATGTCAGTGATGACACCATTTTGACGGCCTTTCCTCTTGGCCCCTTAGAATGATTCTCTGATTAAGCAGCCTGCACGGGACCTGCCTTTGGTCCCTTGTCAAAATGATATTAGACAAATTAAACAAACAAAGCCAATCTGTACCCGCCCCCCTCCCGTTATCCAAGGTCATTTTCCACTTTCGATTTCTGTCCCAGCTCAGGGCCATCACTGAGACACTACTTTATGTTCGTGAAAGCTGAAGAGGTGCCTCCTGGTCCTGTTTCAGATTGATTAGACTTTTAGCCAGGAGAATTAATATGTGAAGAATTTGTCTGCTTCCCCCTGCAGCGATTCTCCCCTCAGTCTCATCAGTAAACAAGGAGACATGGAAACAAAACCACTCTCAGCTGTGTGATTAAAAGTGGCCCCCAAAGAAACTTGCCTCTTCAGTCAATGCTGCTGTTATTGAAAAATCTAATTTGAGTAGCCCATACCTTTTCCAAACTGTATTTCTACACCCAGTCAGGCAAAGTCAGTGGGAATAAACAGGATGAGGATACCTCGCCCTTACTGGCAGAGCAAAGAAGAGCAAAAGTCCTGCATAGTAAGTAACAATTTCAGTCAGTGACCCTAATATGGCAGCCGACAGACACATGGCAGGAGATTGGACTTTGTGCCCCATGCAAATAGCCATTACCATAGCCCCACGGGCAAATGGCAATTACTGGGCAAGGGGTGAATGCCAAAACCCTGTGGTACAAGTTAATTTGATTACATTTCCATTATAAACTATAAACACTGTTTTGCTGCTCGACTGAGCCAATTAAAGGCCTCCTGAAGCTAAAAAAATGTTGACAGCACAGCAGCGGTTTGATCTTCAACCATAAAGCAGATCATAATCATTTGTCACCCTTAAACATGTTTGAGGCTGTTGCATTTTCTTTCCTTAATGAAACCTTTATTTATTTATTTATATATTTGAAAATGCATCAGGCATTTTCATTCATCTACTTCAAATGTTGCTGCCAATGAGCAGCAACATTTCTTTTTTTCCCCCTAATTCAGTTGTGATATGTTCCATCTTGGTGAGTAAAGCATCCTGTGGCAACATGAATAAACATGTGTAGACAGCATTTGGCAGGCAAAGAGAAAGCAGCCAACCAGCCAGACACGGGGAGGCAGGCGCCGGAGACACACAAGGAGTCTGATTTGGGAGTCGGGCTGCCACCGCTTTTCACCTGAGGCCATGCAAGCCACTAGTCGGTCTTTCTGGGCATGATCCACGTCCCCAAGAAAACAAGCATTCAGTCCAAATTTCAATGGACATCTGTTAGCTCTCTGGAATAGGCAGCACGTTTAATTAACTGCATCTCACCAAACACGGAGATGCATATGTCATGAATATGCGCTGTGTGTATTGTGTAATTATGGTATGGTAGCGGAGAGGTCGCAGCACTTCCACTGCCACGTCACTGAGCCCCAAGTTTAGTTTAGGGTAATGCATTATTTTCATCACATGGATTTAGTATCATGTCCAAAATCAGATGCCTGAGGCCCATGTGGCATCAATGTGAGTATGTAGGTCTACTTTTGTGGAGTTACATGCAGAACAGCTTAAGCCTTCTATTATTTGTGGTGGAGTCTTGTACGTGTGGGCGTGTATGGCCGGGTTTGTCATCAGTCTTTTATGGAACTAGGAGATGCCTTAGATTCTATTAAAACTGTATTATATTTCTCTTGATGGAGTTGTGTAATCTTGTACCCATTGATTTTTCTATATTTCTGTGGATGTGTTTGCATGCGCATGTTGGTTTGCCACTGATGTACTGTAGATGAATTATGATCCTGCATTAGAGCAGAGAGTTTTAATCACACACGGATTCGGAGTGTTTTAAACAAATGCTTTTTTGTAAGCATGGCGGATTATCATAAGATTTAAAGATTTGGAAATGGCTGACAGCTGTCAAGCTGCATAATAATGTGCGTCCAGAAAATTATAGCAGCTGCTGGTTGGCGGGATGTCAATGCTGCTCTCTAGATTAAAGCCTAGCAGACAGGAGCATAAGTGTCAGCAAGCACACGCACGCACTTTCCCAGACGCACACAACAAGATGTACAAACACAGTCACTCACAGGACACACGGATAGATTTCAGCAGCAGAGGCTTTCAGGAGTGAGGAGATAGTGCCTGCCGTGAGGTGAAGGAAGATAAAACCTCACATCTATTTATTTCGTATTTCGATGATGGGGTCTAAATGAGTCCTAAAATGACCCGCTGAGAGCAGTCTGTAGCAGGAGAAAGGTCCCCCTGTGGACTCTATCAGGTATCCTCTTGTGCAATGGAGCAGCCTGGAGTATTAAACACAGCCGGAGACTCAGTAGGAACCTGATGAAAAACAAGTACATGCCATCTCTGGTTCCTATGGGGCCTGATATGCTTGTGTAAAGTCTAATTTATGACATCCTCAGAGGTCCTGCACTCGGGAATGACTGCAGCATCTCTAACTTTATGCACAGGCACAGCCTCACTGCCAGTCATTTGCAAACACTGATGCCCCATGAGGATGAGATGCGCTTCCTTCTTTGCAAGAACAAGATCTCTCTGGATGATGAGTGGGTCCCTTGCAAAGACTGCAACTGCGTCTCCACTAAAGAACCTAGAGCAGCGATAGAGGAAGTCCTTCTCAATTGAACGAGCAGGCAGACAGAGGGGGGGAATCTCTCACAAATGCTAATGCGCAGCCGGGAACATTCAAGGGGCATGAATACCAACTGCAAGGATGAGAACGAGGTCTGTTTGGGGAGGAAAGGTAAAGCCCTGTGAAGTAGCCTAGAAGCGCTCAACAGATCCTCAGACTTGAGGCATGTCAGCTCGAGAAAGGGATGGCAATAAAGCTAAAGGAACTGCGCCCTGCATAATAAGAGACGCCTGAGACTCTTTTCAGATAAGGTTAGGAGCACTTTAGAGGAATGCAACCTGTTCAAAGACAAACAAGCAAAGGGATTATGCTGCTTTTAGCACTTTGGTGCACTGAGCATTCTGATTATAAGATGGGGAGTGCATAAAGGAGCCACTTCTCATATGAATCAACTTCTAATACGAGACCTTTTTCTCCCTTGGGCCCTATTGAAGCAAATGCCTGAGGGATTTGTATGACAAACATGCATATTTCTTCTGTGGTTCTGCGTGGCCTTCTGTAATAAAAAACCATGAGCTTGGGGTCAGTTCTGAAGCATAAGGTTACAAACCATTTTAAGTGAATAAACAGCAAGTCTGCAAAAGAAATCCATTTAGGCAACCAAAGCGCATGCAGTACACTTTGTTCTTTATCAACTTACCTTCAGTTTATGTGAGAATTGGCAGTTCTACATTTTTTACAGACAAGGAGGCAGGGAGGATATGCTCTCACTGGCTTTCTATCAAGCATCTACTGTATGTCTCATTACCACCTCACTGGTCAAGAAGTGGATGTCACCTACTGACAGAATGATAAGTGACGAGCCACACCGATTTCACAGTAATTGTATGATTAGTACGGATCGTGTCGGTGCCGTTATCCACACATGTCTGACTGAGCCGGACACGGACAAAGGCTAGATGTTTTTCATCTATTAATTCTGTAGCACATTACTTCCTCCCAGCAGGTGATTAGGAGAGCAGGAGTGTGGTGGACATTAGGCAAATGTAATACAGCCTTTAAATAATGGCCCTGCTTCACTTTGCCATAGTCATATTCATACAAGTTAATGACTGCCTGTGGCTATTAAGGTGGCCTATAAGGAAAGAGGGGCGGCTCAGTGCAGCCAGTAAAACATATATTCTGAGGTTTCTCAGCTGGGACACTTTCTCCTCTGCAGATTTCACTGGAGAGCAAACATATTTTGTACAAGTCATATGGACAAATGTGGTTGTTGATACCATAACAACACCATAAATTGTAAAGGTGTATAAATAATAATGTGAGAATGTGATAGCTAGGAGGATCTTTAGTCACATTCTCATAAGTCTTTTGGGTGGATATTATTTGACATGACTGATAACAGATACGGTGTCCAGGTTTGCAGGCTACTTGCAGGCTGTGCTCTTTGTTGAGCATTTAGAGGCTGCAGATGTCTTGTGTTTGCTGTGTGGAACGTGATGGAGGTGAGGAGAACAGTTCACACGTTGTTGTTAGAGGAAATGTGACAAAAACGCATCTTATTCCATAGTTTGTGCCAGACACATAAGCCATCTGATCTAAGTTCGGTTTTATAAAAACATGAACAGGGTTAGATTTGGAAGAGTTTTTGGTATGTTCTGCTTTTCCTCATTCCTTCATCCCAATCACATACTTTCTTGTGCGTCTCTCTTGTCGCCCCCCATCAACAGCAGCTATGTGACTTTTAAAGAATTGCGCATCTTACCTTGAGCGCTGGCTCTGAGGATACAAGTCGCCGACAGCAGAATCCAACAGGAGATCCACACCTGTCCGACCTGTCCAGCTGTAACCACCATGGTTCGCGGCGGCGCCACCGTCGAGCCCCCGGTGCGCCTTTTCCGTCTCCACGCTGGGAACATGTTGCTCGGTGGTGGCCCCGCACACACTCTCACTCTCTCTCTCACACACACTCGAGCTCACTCCCGGGAAGAGTCCCGTCTACTGCCGGTCCGGTGCGTCACACCGCTCCTCACTTGCGGTTTTGCGAGTGACCGGGGGAGGGGAGAGCGCGCGTGGAGACTAGATGGAGCTCACGGTCAGCCGGAGAGCACCGGGCACGCAGACGGGCACGCTGCACTATGAGGATCCCGTGGACAAGTCTCGCATGAGCAAGGCGGAGTCAGTCCAATTGAATTTGCTCGGCTGTCAAGTGTGCGAGACGGAATATTGACATCATCTTCTTACTGCCCCGAATAAACCCCGCATGCATCACAGAGTGGTGCGTAAAATGGAATGGGGAAAACAGCCCGTGTTGACTGTTTGATGTCTCCAAGTTCATATGCTGTCTGTAGAGGAGAGCTTAGAGTGAACCGCACATTTCCAGAAAGTCTTGATGAAAGAAAATAATTGTTTGCAACACAGATACCTTTCCTCAGCAACTGTGTTCTGCATTGCCACCTCTCCATTCCATTCACCCCGTGGCCAGCAGTGAGGTGTGTGTGTGTGTGTGTGTGTGTGTGTGTTAGTGTGTGTGTGTGTCTGCAAGTATAAACACACCCAGTCTTCTTCCCTTCACATGTAAAACAATATATTTCCTAAGCCTCTATTTTGCTCCTGCAGGGGTGGTCTGTGTAAACATTCAGCTTTGCTTTATGAATTGATCACCATATAGACTGTACCAGTGCGCGCAACCTGAACCCAGACACCCCAAGTGCTCTGTACGCTAGTGCCACCATGCGGCAGGAAGTGGTAGGAAATATTCATTTAGACAGCTCTGATTGACTGCTGACACATTAACCCCACCCCCCCCCCCCCCCCCCCCCCCCCCCCCACAAAAAAGAGCCTGGATTTAAAAACTACCTGATGACAACAAAATCTCTCCTAAATAGTTGTTTTTTTATTTGTGTGTGTTTTTGCTGCCAAGGAGAAAAGCGTTAACTGGGTCACAGACTAAAAGTAAAGTGTCAGCCTGGGAGCCTTGTTCTGTGCATCTATTAATTCTGCACTGGCCCTAGTAAAAGGCCCTGGCTCTGCTGTGGTGTGGTTAAAAGCAGAGCAGCCCACACCATTACACAGACGAACGACATAGGAAATGGCTTACACCTGAGCAACTTAATGTGAGCAGAGAATTAGTCTGAATGTCAGGGCCGCTGCTGTGAATGAATACTCGCCGGCATCAGAGTGCTTCCTCTATCACATGAGCATAAAGGGCAAGTTGGAGCGCTCAGAAATGGCGGTACCTATGGGCTGTGATATACGCTTTGGTTGTCTTTAGGTGTTTTAGAAGCCACATGAAGATGCATGCAGAAATTGCAAAGGGCTGTCACAATGTTTCTCCCTTAATGGTGCTATGTGTGCTATTAGATTTTGTGAGTCTTGAAGGCACAACATGAAACAGTCCAAGCTTCCATCAGCTATAAGTATAAATGGAGGTGGTACTCTCCACCTGCCTCCACTCTCTCCCTTTTAAGCTGATGCTTTGTACAGTCCCAACATGAATCTCTTCCCCTGCCCTTTTTGCTCTACAAATACCAGCTTCCCTTCTGCTTGTGTCTTACAACGTCTCATTGCTGCCAGGGGCTCATTTGGTGTCATCCATTGCTCCCTCCCTTTATTTCCTCCCTCCTCAGCCCTCTGCCACCCCGTGCACCAACCCCCTCCTGATAATGATGTGCTGATTATGAGGCTCTTAGGCCAGCAGATTGCTCTCCAGTCTCATTCGCATGCAGTGGAAAATTGCTGCTGTCTTGGAGTACCCACCCCGCTGTGCGTAGCAGGCAGGTTGACATTAGCAAGCTGCTGGGAACAGCGCTCAGGAACAAGGGCAGGTGCTCCGTCTCTGTAACTGTTTTTGCAGCAGAGGAAGCGGAGGGTGCCTGATGCTACAAGCCACGCTGGGGGGTTGGGGGGGCACCACAGGCTGGTGTCAAACAGTAAGGCATTGTGTTGCTGACATTACTACAGTACATACACTTACAGAGGATAGATTTAGTCACAGAGTGAGACACAGTGTTACAGAGAACGGAAAAAAACAGGTTAATGTACTGATTATACATCACAACTGCGTCTTTAGTTGAGGTAAAGACGTTGTTTTTAATAGTCAAAGTCCTTCAGCTATAAGACAAGTAAACTGGCATGAGTCCACGATGATTTTAATGATTAGACACTGACGGACCAAATTATTTTAGTGGCATAGACTGACAAATATTTAAAAAACAGATGCTGTATTATTTCAAAATATTAATTTTCAATTTAATTTTGAAACCTTGGACAAGTGTCAGACTTCAGAAGTCTAGCAGAAGTCATATTGTCTTTCCTTTTTCGTGACAAGCATTAAACAAGTTATCCATCAAGTGTAATTTCTTTAATAGTCTTAAAAGCTGAAGTGCTGATAACGTGAGGTGTTAAGACAGGCGATCTTGGCAGTGTAGCATTGCATTAGATTAACTTGTGCAGATCTATTCTTCTCAGAATCGTTTACACATACCTATTTGCATCCTGGATTCTTTTTACTTTTTTAATTTTTCTTTTTCAACATCAGGGACTTTGAATGTTCCTGCATGCTCTCAGGGTTACTGAGAAGGTTATTGTGTTTCACCATCAGAGGGACTAAAATGATAATACACTCCCATGTATAGCGTCACAACTAAATGAATACTGATGTTAGTCTGGGAGGTGGGGGAATGCACCTTGACCTTTTGTAAAGCTGCTATCTTTCTTTTAACTCGCCTGATTTGAAATGGTTGATTGAAGTGAGCTTTATTTGAGATTGGCCCGGCGCTGGCTGCCTCACTTATGCATGCAGGCACGGTAGCACAAAGGGAAACAAAGTGGCCACGAAACATTGACCTCTTCCTTCCTCTGTGGGTAGAGACAGAAAAGTTACTCTGGTCTATTTGCAAACAGAGAAACAGTCCAACCGTCCGCTCTGGCATTGTTATTTATTCTCTGTGTTCCCTCTGATTCTGCATTTGACACATATGTTGCAGCCGTTGATTTTCCAATGTGGACGTGCTCTCAGCAGTCTCCTGCAAGTTCTGGCACACGCACTCACATACACAAACAGTACTGCACAAAGTTGCTGCATCATTCTTGACACTTCATATATAGCGTCTCACAGAGAAAATCTGATTTCTCCCCAGTAACCGATCATCTCACAGCTCTTTCCTTGAGACAGTGGTAGATTCCAACTGGGAATTGAAACATGAAAAATACAACCAAACCACTGCTGCGAGATGCATAACTGCATCGGAACAAAGGCATCACAGGATAGCATGATATTGTGTGTCACTCCCTTAGATCTATTCTCTCCCCACAATAACAACCAATTTGTATATTTTTTTGTGTAGCGCCTCTATGTAGCAATGGAAATTCTTCAAAATAAATAAATTGACAACAGCACATTAACTATAGCATCTATAGCTTATCAAATAAACGTGATTCGGGTCTCTTAGTTCATGTGTTGTTAAAAAACACAGTATGGGGTAGGTCTTAGAATATTAATAGTATCAAAATATTATAACGGTATTGCCCTAGGAACATCTCACTTAGGAATATTGCCTTGAATCAATGGCATAATTGGTCTCCTCCAGTCTCACTTTGATTTAAATAACATTAGCAATTTTCCAGTCATTTTGCATTGATCTTCCGCTGCAGCATTCTGCCCCGAGATGCAGCTGGAAATTGAATGTCTTAAACTGGAGATGTGAAGCGTGCATTTCGTTCAAGTTGTCAGAGAGACCGCACTATACCTGATAGATACAACGTTATTGGGATTGATTCTGTGCCTGGCCAGTGGCAATTTCTGTCCACCATACACTGACAGAAATGAGCACACGGAATGGTACCACAAACACATGCATTGGCTTTGCACTTGATGACCTGTGCAGAGTCAAACACTTATGCTATACGACTTCAGTTTATGCTGCAAACTGCCACTCTGAAGTGTTTATAAGACCTTTTGAACAATTTCTCCTAATGAATCCAGAGTTACCTGACAATTTGACATTTTCTTGGTTGCTGTGTCCTGTTTTAAGTTTGTTATTATTCCCATGTCACTCCCGGTGACCTCCACCAAACTGACTTGAAAATGTATCGTTTCTCATTCCTCTCCAGCTCCTTGTTTAGAGCAAAAAGCTTGCAAAAGACAGCACTGATTGTGGAAAGTGTTTTTGTTTCTCCGTCCTTCTTCTCACTTAGTTGGCACCATCTGATTAGCCGACTGTGTGAGAGCTGCAGCCCTACGGCATATAAAGAGCCACGCTTTCATTACATGTAATTCTGAGCTGGCGAAAGAGGGAAAAATTAGTTTACAGCACTACATAGATAGCGAAACAATCAATGTTTACTACATTGTGCTGCAGAGGTATGAGGTTTATCTCTATCTAAATTGAATCCCACTAATCAATAATTATTTCCTGCATATGAAAAGCATTTCATTAGTCACAAGACTGTTAAGATCACCGAAAGCAAAAGATAAAAAATGAGAGAGGAAAAAGCATTAGAGAGAATATCCCTGATAATTGTAGATCACTGGCTGATAAAGGTCATCTCTGTCATCTTCATATTCAGCTGCTGGAAAATAATTAAAGCAGCTATTTACATGGGGTGCAAAATAATTTTCCCCAGTAGCTCTTGAGTCTGACTTTTGGCTGATCACATCACACTGTTAAATCCTTGAGCCCATAAACCCTGCCATCGCACTGTATATCATGGCATTATAAAATACCCTGGGCACCCTAAAGATTAGGTGGGATGAACAGAGATATGGAAGCCAGAGGTCTCATACAATTTCACACCAGTTTTAGCTTGTAAAATTCTTCCTTGTCGCCATCACTCTGCCATGTAAGTCTCCCGTGAGTGTGTGTCGCTGTTGCAGCCTATACTTGTTCATCCTGGCATGTAAAAATCCATATCTTGCTTTTAATGACATGAGAAGGGTCTGTGCAGACATGCAGCATGTTTCTGGGCATTCATTACAGCCTTGGAAATGCTGCAGCTTATCTGTAAGAATTACAGGAGAATAATAACAGCCTCTTGAGTTTAACAAAGTGTGGAGATTTTGAAAGCCA